TCTCTCCCCAAGAGTGTGTTCATAGTGGTTAAATCAGAATGTATAAGCAGCCTCTGGCATGGTGCCCACTGCCTGGCCAGTGCTGCTGGAACTGATAAATGCAGCAGCTCCCTCCTCTTCTCTCTGCTTTAAAGATTGATGAGTCCTGCCTCGAGGGCCACCATGGGGTGTAGGGGAGGCTCAGCCTGCAAAAGTCCTGCCATCACTGGAAAGCTTGAAGGAAATGGCTTCAGGAGGAGTAAATGCTTGAGGTCACATGAAGGTCAGCCTTCCAAGGGTTAGTCCATCACTCTTTTTGAAGACTTGGCTGGACGGAGGAGGCCAAAGGGTAAAATGTCAGCCTAGGAACCTGAAGAACTCAAGTCCCAGCCCTGGCTTTTGTTTGCTGAGTATCCAGGGCCTCTGCTCTCTGAACTGAGGCTCCCCATTTATCATACAAAGTGTTACAGCAATTCTGTAATTTCTTGGGCATCTTTTTCAATGCCCAAAATTTTGTTCAAGTGAATCTTTGGAAAGAACTGTACAAAAAATAAATAAAAAAAGAGAGCTGTCAGAAATTCTGTGAACTCCTGCCCCTCCCCCTCCTGCCCTCCTCCGAACCGGAGACCAGGTAGTCTGAGAACTGAACACCAGAGCCAGTCATCTGGTGCACTTTGGGAACCATGTGGGAAGCTTGCAGGGAGGGGATGGGAGCAACATCTGCATTGTGTGGGCTCCAGGATCCTCCTCCTGCGGGGAGCGCCCTGCATCTGAATGGTTGAAGTAACATGCCCTCCCTCTGCCAATATTGACCTGGGGCCTGCTGTTAGCCAAGCCTAGGGCTTGGGCGCTGTGCTAAGGGCACACAGGTGCCGGTCAAAAGGCCAGGGTGCTTGGCAAGTTATGCAACATGGCCAGGGCCATCCAGCATTCCAGGGTGTGGGAAGGGGAGGTCCTGAAGCTGACAGCTCTTGAGCACCAGCGTGAGGGGAAGTGGCTTCCTGGGTGAGGGTGAGAGCTCTCAGGGGACCTGGGACCCCAAGCTGGGGTGGGGATTGTGAGGTGTGGGGGCACGAGAGCCTTCTCTGTGCTGGACCCTGGACCCAGATATTTGCTGAACTGAGAGGTCTTGGGTGCCCCTTGGAGTGTCAGAATTTGAACATAGATCTGTCTGACTTCAGAGGTCTTTTCCTCTAAAGCCCTGTGGGTTGGGATGGGGGTTCAGGGATTCCTGATAGACTATTTCCATAAACTCTTATTGCTGATATTTCAGTATTCATTAGGGGTTTGATAAATGGCCACAGTAAAATCGGTTAGGGTGAACACGATTCTGGCAAAACAGATAAACAGTTCCCAGTCTTGTGGGCGGACAGTAGATTGGGTGATCCCAACTGCTTGAAGTAAAAGCAGAGACCGCAGAAGACACAGCAAAGGCAAAAAGCCTATAAGAGTGTGCGATGTTCTAGTAGGCAGCCCCATCCAGTGGTGGGTGATGATGGGCTGCTGTGGGTTGCAGATTCTGGGCTTTATGTTGCTCCTCTACCTTTCACAAGAAAGCCACAAGCTGTGAGGTTTTTGTATCCTTTCTCTAAAGGGTTTGCCAACTAGTTCTTCAGTTTGGCACCTACGTAAATGTATATTGAATGAATGGACTCCATCACAGTATTTCAATTGCTGCCACAAAGCTTGTAGGGGAAGATGGGCCATGGTGGGTGGCTTCCCATCCATCCAGGATTCAGCAAATGCTTGTTGAGTGAATACTGCAGACTCCCTAAATGGCACTAAAACAGGACTTGACAGCAACCCTTTAGGGAAGGAACCCCTATTCCCATTTCCTGTGTGAGGAAACTGAGTCCCAGAGGCAGGGCTGTCATGTATCCCAATTCCAAAGTGAAGGGAAGCAGCTCTCTGCCGTTCAGCCTGGGTCTCCCAATTCCCAGTCCAGCAGTGATCAGGCTGGGTGTGAGGGCAGTGAGGGCATGGATATGTGACTGCTCTCAGTGCCTCGTGCCTGCTGAAGAGCAGAGGCTATGTTCCTCTCCTGCGTCCAGCATCCAGCCACACTGAGCACCCCCTGTTCTATCTGGCCATGTCAGGCCCTCTTTCTTCCCTGCACATACTCTTCTGTCTACTGGGAATGCAGTGTTGCCACTGCTTCCCTACTTGGCTGTCTCTCTGCATGTCCTTCACGGCCCAGCTCCAGCTCCAATGTCACCTTCTCAGAACCCATCTTTGACTGTCTCCAAGTAAAAACAGAAGTCTCTCCCTCTAGGGTTCCCACAGTGCCCTCTCCCTCCACCTCCTCATCCCCATCCCTGTTGAAGCTTAGGCCACACTATCCTCCCCACAGGTCCGGAAGCCTCCCACTTGATGTTAGGACTGGGGCCCATTTCATCCAGGCCCTGAAGCACAGTTCACTCACTTTTCAGTCAGTCTAATGCAACTGCTTGCCTGGGTGGATATGGACCTAACCAGGGAGTGGGTAGGCAGGTTTTCTAAAGCAGAGTTTGACCTTGACCTGCCTGAGGTAAAGTCCAGCCCAGGGGTTTGTCCTTGGCTCCTAGCAGCCCCCACTGCCAGAGGCTACAGCTGCTCGGCAGGGTCCCAAGAGTGACTTCAGAAGCTCGGAGACCCCTGGGACACCAGAGCAGACTGAAAACAGGGCCTGCAGTGTAATAACCGTGCTTACCTCTCACGGAGCCCCTTCCGTAGCGCTGTTCATTCATGTGCTACTGGCAGGTATTTACAGATCCGCATATCATCTGTATTATTTTTCCTTATATTTTTATTTAAACTGCTTTGTTCTAAGTAATATGAAATCACAGGGCTCGTTAAAAACATTTATCTTTAAAAAGGTTCTATATTTCTATGGCTTGAAATTCAAAAAGGGTATAAGATGGTCTCCTTCCACCCACCACTGTCCCCCAGATCCCTCAAGGCACAATGTTACCTTTCTTGTGCATTCTTTTAAGTCAGTAGATATGTATATTCTTCCCTGCCACACCCAGCCATTTTTTTTTTTTACACAAAAGGTAGCATACAACACACTGCTCTGAAGCTTTTTTTTTTTTTTTTACTTAATATATCTTGGGAGGTGTCCCAAAGCTATGCATAAAGAGCTTTCTTATTTATGCATTTTATTATATAGCTATGCCACATTTTATGAAATCATAGGTTTGCATTGTTAGTTTCATATTTATTCTAGCATGCACTGGAAAATACATATCTGGTATACCATTAGTGTCACCACTGGGCAGCCCAGTAGACATTCCCAAGCTAACCTAACGCATGTGCCGCAGTTGGGAGAGAGCCCTCACATGGCGGGCTTCAACAGCCACTGTCAGGCCTTTCATCGATGTGGAGTGCCTTGTGACTTCCTCTTACTGAATCCCAGTGGTCACCCAGTGAGTTAGGCTTGGCTGGGGCCCACCAGAGACGGTCTGCTCACCATGCACTGTCAGAACTGACAGCCCTGAGTCTGCAGGCTCCCTAGGAGTTTGAGAGAAGTTGTGGTGCTGGGTCAGGAGTGTTTTGAGCTGGGTATGAAGGGCAGGATGTAAGGGAGGGTGTGGCCCATCATGAGGAAAGCCCAGCTTCTAGGATGAATGTCCAAATTTGGCCAGGAAGGGGCCAGGTGGGCTGGTGGGAAACAAGGCCCCAGCACTCACCTGATGGAGAATGGGCTCCAATTTGTGCACTCAGGCTAACCGGAGCCTCCTTCCTGTTTCTCAGCCTCTGATGTGAACACCTCAGCTTTCGCAATCATTGGCCTAATGGCTTCCAGGGAATGAAAAGACCATGCTAGGAATGGGTCTGATTAATAGCTAAGCCTAGGGCTATCTGTGAGGATCTTGGAGTCAGGGCTGCTTCTGGGTTCTGTGGGAAAAGCAAGGCTGTAGCAAGGCTGTGGCCAAACTAAGACTGTCCCGTCTATGTGTGGCTAGGATTCTGTGCTTCCCAGCCCTCCCCTCCAGTGTCCAGCCTGGTGCAGGGCACGCAGCGAATGCCAGTCATTTGTTTGGCATTGCTCCCCCAGCTCCATTCTCTCACAGCCAGCCTGCATAATGTCACAGTTCTTGGCTTCTTCATTGTTAAAGGCAGAAACTAAGAATCCTCTCCTTTCTCCAGCAGGGGACAGAAACCTGTCACCCTTTTTCTCCCCGGCCCTTTGTCGATTGAAAACCCCTTGGCCTGACATATTCACCTAGTGTCATGTACTTTTCCAAAGCACATTTCTGGCTTGTATGTCATCTGTGTCCAAATAACCCTGGAAAGTGTGTGGTCTAGGGAGGGTTGCCATTAGGGACACTTGGTGGGGAGTTGGGGTCCCTGAGCTCCAGCCTGGCTCTCTGTAGACCCCTGAGTGAGCTGGGACTTGTCTCTGCCTCTCAGTACTCAGTTTCCTCCCCTCTCAATGGGGGCAAGGGAAGGGAAGACAACATTTACAATGCGGATAAGCATGACTTCCCATTTTGCAGACAAGCAAATGGAGGGGTAGGGAAGAGTTGGGAAAAGTGACTTAGCCTATCAAAATTCATAGAGCGACTAGGCAGGTGGGCTGGAATCAGAAGCCAGCACCTGCAGGTCCAAATCCAGGGTACTTCCCCCACTCTGTGCTGCCCCTCCTCCCATGTAATTTGGCACCCATTGTATAGGGGAGTTGGCTCCTGGACCTCCCAGTCAGAGTCTCAAGTCACCTGGACCCTAGGCATGCTCCAACAGAGGAATGAGACTCTAGAGAATGCCAAGGCCTGTTCTTTAGCCAAGACTCGGCTGCAGACAGAGAAGACCCCAGGTCCCCTCTCTCCCCAGGAATGAGTCTTGCCAGCCCAGTGTCTGAAAGTCAGTAGGGCTCGTTTGGGCACCTGAGGTCAGGAAGTAACCAAGTTTCCTGGGAGAAGGAATGGTATGGTGCCAAGAGTCAGGCAGATGCCTGAACAAGAGAACCTGCCAGCCTAGACCCTGCCTTGTAGTAATCTGGGCCCAAACATGCCTGTAACACATGCTTTTTTTCTCTGCAGAAGCTGACGGGCCGCCTCATGCTGGCTGTGGGAGGGGCAGTGCTTGGCTCCCTGCAGTTTGGCTACAACACTGGAGTCATCAATGCCCCCCAGAAGGTGAGTACCATGCTGTGCACTACATAGCCCTACACACTCACCCTGCCTCTTGAGTGTCAGTCATTTCTGTCAACTCAGCATCTGCCTCCCCAGCCAGTTTTCTGACCCCAAAATGGTCAGAGACTCTTGGCTTTGGCTTTGGAATCTTGGGGCAGCAGAGTTCTAGAAGCTCAGGGCCCACAGAGTCACAGGGTCTTTATAGATCATCTTGGCCAACCCCCATCCAGTACAGGCATTTTCAATAATCAAAGCAATGCTTGGTATAAGGAAGCTCTGTTTATATGACCCTCTGGGTTAAAAAGGACTGTTGTGCTTATTTCATTTGCTGCTCATAACAGTGCCATTAGGCAAGCAAGCAAAGAGCACCACTCCCATCCTCCGTGTTGGGAGAGTAGCTAGAAAGAAGAAACTTGCTTGGTATCATCCAGCTAGTCAGGGATAGAGCTGGTGTCCAACACGAGTCTACCTTGGAGCCTTCCCACCAGGTGGTCCCAGAGCCTGGGCTCACACCCATCCAAGCCAGCACACTCCCTTGTCAAATATCACCTGTTCTACATTGCAACTGCCTCCTCTCCCTGGAGGCCTTGTGCCAGTCAAAGCAAAAATGCATCTTTCCCTAGGGAACCACCAGCGGGTGGAGGGCTGCACTCACTTCCTTTTCAATACAACACATCCCAGATCTGTTCTTGCTTGCTTACTTGAATGTCAGGGCTGGGAGGGACCCCAGCCATTGATCATCGCCTCCAGCGTAGCCCAGCCCCAGCCCACTTGCTTTAGGGAGACGAGAAGAGGAAAGGAGCAAGGGACAGAAAAGAAAAGTGTAATGTCCTTCCTCTGTACCTCTATACCAGGCCTTTTGTATATGTTTGCAAGGATGGGTGATGATTTCCATTTTACTGACTTGAAAACTGAGGCCCTGGGCAAATGAGATGACCAACAGGCTAGAGGTCACATGGCTAGTGAATGGTGGAGTCAGAAGCCAAATTGTTGTTTTGACAACCTCAAGCTGTCCTCCTGACCAACTGTCTTGTGAGTTAAAAAATCTGTACCTTCCTGGAGAGGACAAAATGAGAGTGGGCATTGCTCCTGTCAAGACTGCATTCACAGTCCAGATGGGTGGGACTAGAAGGTGTGGCTGGCTCATGAGGATGAGGGGCCTGTTTAGGGGAACCGGGCAGTGTCAGGAGTCAGAGCTGGGCCATCTCCAAATGGGGGGGGCGGCTGTGGGGCCCACGCCTGATGCTGGGGAGCAGGTCACCAGGAAGGCTTGGCCAGCTGAGTCATGCTCAGCTGCCCCGGAGCTGACAGGACTTTTCCAAGCTCGTCTGAAATGGTGACTGTGGGCCCATGCTTGGAACAGCCCCAGGCTCTGCTCTAAGTGCTCTGAGCAGCTCTTGGCAAGGTGTGCCTTGGAGCTGGCTCCCTTTGGGAATCCTTACAGATGGGAATTCTGCAGTCTTAGAGGGATGCTGAGTTCTCCACATGATTGCACCTTGGGGTCCCTTGGATGCTCCCTGATCCTGATCTGATTGGTCTGGGATGCTGTTAGGGCATCTAATTATTAGATGTAAGAACTTCTGGTGTAAATGATGTCTTAACTGTGATCATGTAGTTAATGACAGAACTAGGACCCTAAGGTCAGGATATAGCAAGTGTTTTCCAGAAACATAACAGGGTTGGGGTGAGTAGAGGCCTACAAAGGTGAGAATAAAATGCTCAGAGGTGAGAAAGTCTGGTGTGTCACAGCGGAGGAGAGAGTAGCCTGGGGAGGCCCGCAAGGTAAGCCCAGAGCCTGACCCTGAAGGGCCTTGTGGGTGGGTTTCGCTGGCATGGCACAGTCAGAACGAGCATGTAGGCCCCGACGCTGAGCTGTGGAATGTGGACTTCAGAATGAGGACAACGGGGGCCCATTGAAGAGGACAGATAGGATCTGATTTGCATTTTAGGGAAATGGTCCAGGCATCTAGTGCAGTGGGATGGCTCTGAGAATGTAAGACTAGAGACAGGGAAACTAGACTGAAAGCTGCCAGTGCAATAGGGGCAGATAAACAAACACAGAAGGGGCAGGATTTGGTCATCAGCACAAGAACAGGAGAACAAGGCATGACATGGCTTCTAGGCTTCCGGCCTGGGTGATGTGGGGTCTGAAGGAGGAGCAGGGATGGGAGGAGGTGATTAGGAATTGAGGTTTGGTACAACACAGCCAGAGACATGCAAGAAGCACTTGGCCATGGAGATCTTTCTTGAGTCCGTAGTCAGCTGGAGAAAAGTGGACAGTTGGTCACGGCTATCCAAACAGGAGAGGATGATGTCCAGACTGCGTGTGGAATGAAAAGAGAAATACGGGTCAAGCCCCAGAGCATATCACCTTTGCTAGAAGAGGATCTAGGTTGGAGAAGAGCATCTCAAAGCCAGGAGATGGGAACTCACAAAATAGGGAACTGGAATGCCTGGGGGCAGGGGTGTTCGCTGTCTTGTCCTTAGTGCCTAGACTGGGGCCTGCCCACAGAGAGGCACTTGGTGAATCGTGGGCAGCTGGACAGCGAAGGAGTGCAGTCAGGGCCCCCAGAGGCCGACCTGGACAAATTGGCCTGTACTGCCAAATGCAGAAGTGACCCAATGATGGTGACCCTGTGTTGGCAGAGGCAGGCTGGATGGTGCCCTGCCAGGGAGCCACCCTGCAGCTGGTTGAAGAGAGAGGGGAGATAGGAAGAGCAGAGACTTGGTGGAAAAGGGTGAAAGGAGGGTGGCAGCTGGAGGGGTCATCTAGGTAGGCTTTTGGTTTTTTTTAAATATGAAGACTTCATTTTTAAACCTGTTGTAAGGAATCAGCAGAGGAGGAAAGGGTGACAGTGAGGGGAGGGGTGGGGAGAGGTCTTCCAGGAGGCAGGGGTAGTGCAGCAGAGGCAAAGGGGTGGTTGGGCTGGGAGGGACTGGACTCTCCTGAGGTTGCAGATGTGGACGAACCCGGGTGGTTTCTCCAGTTCTTGGGACCTCCCACCTAATCAAATAGGTGAAAGGTGAGGACTGCTGAGGATGGTGGATGCGGGGGCAGCTGGCTGGGATTTCTAGAGGCCTGGTGGGCAGCACAGAAGTTCCAATTGAGTTTGTAAATGACATTTATAGGAGCGTTTGTGGGTACCTGTCCAAAGGTCACTTCAGAACTCAGCCTCTGAAGATGGAAGCAAGAGACCTAAGTGGCCAGAACTGATAGCATGCACACTGAAACTGAGCAGTGCTTCCTGGGCATGCACTCAGGCATGCCGTCTGTTTACCCTTGTGCTTTACAAACACTTTTCATAAGCTTGGCTGTAGTTTTTCCAAACAGGAGCAACTAGAAGTGATAAAGCTAATGTGAAGCGGTGCTAGGACGACACGAGAGAAGGAGAGGAAGTGTGGCCCAGAGCTGGCTGCCCTGCCCTGAGGCACCAGAGGTGGCACAGTGATTTGGCTCTGCCAGCACTCCAAGGACTGTGCCTGGTACTGTCCCAGAGTGTGGGGAGACAGAGCCGTGAACACAGGCACATCCTGATGCGCAGAGAGCTGCTTAACATAAGGTCTGAGCTGGGCTTCCTCCCTGCCCTCCAACTACTCAGCCACCTGCAGGGGCTGGGGAAGACCCCTTGGGAAAAGCTCGGTTATAATTAATGGAGGGCTTTTAGGGGCTATGGGAGCCAAGAGGAAGGCAGTAATGCTGGGGTGCAGTGACGGGAGAGACAGGAAGGGCTTCACAAAGGAGTTGGCAGCGGTGCTGGACCTTGAGGGAGGTGTCGGCTCCCGGGGAAGGAGGGGTGGGTCCCACAAGCAATGGGGGGACAGCTTGTGCAGAGATGCGGTGGCATGAAGTGTTCTGTGATGTGGGATTTGGAACACACTGACCGCCCTTGTCTATTTAGAAGGACTTTTCTTGGGGAACCGAGCTGGGCTGGTGAGGTTAGCCTGCCCGCCAGAGGACTTTGCCCCTCAACTGGTGAGAGTGCCAACAGGACATCAACTACCAGAAGCTTAATCTCTGCCATAGAACAGGCCCCAGAGGGCTTCCTCCTGGAAGTGGTTAATCAATCATTACATTATCTTAACTGTTTACAGAGCACCTCTATAGTGAATTATCTCTTCACAGCACCCCACAAGGTGGGTGGGGCCGAGTTTATCTTTCCTTCTTATAAAGGAGGAAACCCAGGCTAGGTGCGGCACCTGGAAAGTGAAAGGCTGAGCTGGAGTCTGACTGCAGGCTGCTCCAGGTGTGAGTGGTGACTACATCCCTGTGACGTCCCTATGGTGGGGAGGCGGGGTGGGCAGAGGAGGGCCCAGCCGCAGAGAAAGAGAATAAATGAATGAGGACATCCTGACCACCATGCTGGGTGGAGAGAACTGCCTCCCCCCTGCCCGTGTGACTGAGCTGCCAACAGGATGACTAAACGCTATTTAGCAACCATGCGTTCCTGGCCAAGGGACAGTGTCAGGCATCCTCAGAAACCAGAGAGCTTGGGCTAGAAGGGGCCTGACTGCCTGTTGGCTCAGCAGTCCTTATTTGACAAAGGAGGAACCTGGTCTGGATAGGGGGTACAGTCTGCCCAAGATGACCCAGCTTGGAGAGTGGAAATACTGGGGGTACATTCCACTGCCCAGTGCTCTCTGGGGCCAAGCTGGGCTCCAGACAGCCTATCCTTACCTCTGCTATGTACAAAGAGGTCTGCGACCCTTCTCCCCTTCAGCCATCTCCACGAATACAAACCCTCCCACCTTACAGCTCACCATGTGCCAGGCATTATTCTTAGTGCTTTAGAAAACACTAGGTAGGCACTCGAATCCCTGTTTTATAAGAAGCTGGGACACAGAGATGTCAAGGGATGAAACCAAAGACACAGAGCTAGTAAGTGGCAACAGTGGGATTTGAATCCAGGGAGTCTGGCTTGTCTGCACTCTTGACCACTGTAGAAAGGATGGTAGTTACTTTACAGTCAGATGAGTGGCCAAACACCCTTTCACACACTACAGCT